CACCCTGCCTGCACCACACTCCTTCTGGGCCCCCAGCTTTGAGGGTATCACACTGTGCAAGACGGGGTCCAGCTGCAGGGCTGGGTTCAGCTGTATTGAGTTTGCATCCCCAGCAGAGTCCTCCCGCCCTGGGGCTCCTCCAGGCTGCTCATGGCTATCACCGCATGACCTCCTGCACCCAAAAGGGCCTGCTCCAGGTGCAGGTGGGATTTTCTGAGGCTGCCAGACCCTCGTGTTGTGGCTCATGACACCATGTACTTGCTGGGAGTGCCAGGGAGATGCCCCATCATCCCTGGTGCCCCAGGGCTGGCCCTGTGCCTCTGGGCAGGGGGACCACGGTCCAGCACAGGCAGCAGTGTCCATTTTGGGGTGCTCCCACCATGGTTGCACTTGTGCAATGCAGCAGCACAAAAGTACAGCGTCCATTAGTACATCCCACCAGTGTGACACATTAGGAAAAACTTCCTGGTAAACAAACAGTAAACACAGAGAGCACGGCTGGGATTTTTAGGATATTTTAGCCCAGCTTCTCTCTGGTAGGAACGATTCCCCCAGGGAAGGAGAGGAATAAACCAACTGATCTCCTGGGAGCTCTTTTAGTCCTGTTTTCTATGATCTACGATTTTCACCAACCATTCTTCACCAGATTCACATGCAGACTTTTGCAGAGAGATAACAGGGGCTCACCCTCCTGCACAACTGCAAAGCCTTTGTCTGCTCTGGAGACATGCAACTCCATGTCCATAAGCAAAGCCAGGAAATGAGGTGGCTGCATTCAGCCTGGAGCAATCAAATCATCAGGTTCTAAATAAATAATCAGATGAGTAATGGGAGCATTGCCTATGCCTGCAGCTTTCCTTGCCTGCTCAAGAAGCACCATGCAAACATGAAGGAGGGAAGCTGAGGCACGATGTGTCAGGACCATGGGCAGGGTGGAGGGAAGAAGCACTGGTGATGGATTCCTGATATCTGTGTGCAACTCATCTGAGAAGCTTTTATGTGAGGAAAAAGGGTTTATTTGACAAAATGACCTGGGCAGTCCCCCTCTCCAGGCTGCATGCTTGCACCATCTTGCTCCCCAGCCAGGGACTTTGCACCCACTCACCAGGATCTTCTCCCCCAGCCCCACCCCCCGGTGTCCCAATGCAACCCCCCGTGCTGCTGGGGTCTTCACCCACAGGGACAAGGACAGACATGCTTGCTGAAAGAGAAATGGAATGAGTGCTGCTCTGGTCACGCCACAGCTATGCTCAGCAGCAGCACAAGTGGTGCAGGGAAACCCTCCAGGCCACAGAGATGTCCCTTGATCCATTTCTGGGGAGCTTTAGGTGCATGGAGGAGATCAGATGAACACAGATTTCTTATTAAAATTAATTTGCAAGGCCAGAATATCTCCAGCCCCTGGTTCCACCTCTCCTTTCTCCTCCTGGCCCCTTTCTGTTTGCTCTCTCTGCAGCTCCTACTCGTTTTGCATCACATTGCTTATCAGTGACAATGAGCAGGCACCTCCCTGATCCCATCTCCATGACGGGGTGTCCCTGTCACACTTGGCTGTGGGCAGGGGCTGACCGAGCCATGAGAAAGGGTAGGTAAGGTTCTGGGAGAGCCTGGTGAGTCCTAGCCCCAGAGGGGAGAGTACAACGACTCTCCATCACATTCAGGAGCTGGGGAAGCATGAAGCACCCTGTGCACAGAGCCCCAGTGATGGGCAAAGGTTGCCCGAGGCTGGGACGGTGACGGCTACAAGGGGCTTTTGTCCCAGCTGTGATGGGGACGGGGATGTGCCGTCAGTACTGCAAGGTCTTTCTGTGCACCAGTGTGGGATGCTGGGGCTGTTGCACTCTGGGACCACGTCTCAGGCAGCAGCATCACGCTCCTGGGCTGCCACCAGACCCTGGGAAAGGGGTGCTGGAGAGGGGGACACCCTGACACAGTGTGGTGAAGGGGCTGGGGAAGCTATTGGGTGATTTGGGGAGCAAGGGGTGCAAAGGCAAGTGGGATAAACCAGCTGGAAGCATGTTTGAGCTGGAAATCTGGAGGGGGTCATCACCAGCAGTGCAGGGAGCTGGGGGAGCTTTGCAAAGCCACAGGCATGTTGTGAGCCATTTGGTCATTGCTGTTGTGTATGGAAACCAATCCTGTATTAACTGGGGAGAGGTGGCACTCCCACATTCCGGCCACCAAACTGGGAGCATGGAGTGTTATCTCTGTCCCCATGATGTCCCCTTTGCCCTACGCTGCTGGCATGGGACTCATTGGGGTCCTTGAGCTCGGTGGTATTGAGTATCTGAAAGCACAGACTCCCAGCTAGCGCTGGTGGTGACACCTCCAGGTTTTTTTTCAGAAGCAGCTTCCCAGGATGTCAAATTTGGAGTGGAAAAGGAAAGCCCTGCATACCAGGGTAGAAGAGGTCTAAAGGGGATGTCTCCTGCGGGGCAGGGATAGACTGGATGCCAAAACCTAAAGGAGAAAATGAGCGGCTGAGACACACTGGAATGTGAGGGGGGGCCAAGGAGGTTCAGTGCTCGGTGAGCACAGGAGGCTTTTCTTGCTCCGAGGGGCATGACTGCCTCGAGTGGCTCACTGCCAGCGGCAGCTGCGGATGCAGCTGTGAACGTGTCCATGAACAAGCAAGGAAAGGGCTTTTGTGAACCTTCGAGTCGCATTAATTGTCCCGGCCGTGAGCCCCTGGATAATGCCCTGTGGGGCCGGGGGTGCTGGGGTGGCCCTTGGCTCATGGGAGTGGAGCTGCTCCTACAGCACCAGCCTGTATCCGCAGGGAAGTGCGCAGGCGAGCACTGCACCCGGGGATGCTCGGGTGGCTTCGGACTGAAGCCAGAGCTTAAAACCCTCCCTGGGGTGAGTGCCACAGCAGTCCATTTTGCTGTTGGACTCTGGGACCAGGTCCCACACCAACAGCTACTGAGAAAAGGCTCCAGCCAGGCGAGGAGGTGCCCGTCCTGCGGGTGAGGGGCTGGATGCTGCTGCGTGCTGCGGGCTCCCTGCCAGGCACGAGCGGCTGCAGCGTTCACCTGTTTCAGCAAAATCTGGGCTGCCAGGAAGGTTAATTATATCTTTAAGTTTCTTCAGTTGTCAAATCTTGTAACTATCGTCTCAAGCTGACAGTTATATACCTAGCAATTAACTGGCAGCAAGGCTTTGGAGGCAGCGGGGGGGGGTCTGGCCTTGTTTCCCACCTATATACACAACATGCTCTCAAAACGTTGTCTTAATGGAGCTTAACAGTGCTGGCAAATATTTCACTCAAAAATCTCGCATTTGCCGATGTGTTGCACCAACAAATGCCTAATCAATCCGGCCTCCGATAATGAAGGCTCCTCGTTAGGAGGCATGCGCAGATTTGTGCCTTCTTCCCTCCCCAGACACCCTCTGAGGCATCTGTGGGCTGGTGCAAACCCAGAGAACAAGCCACTTGATCATCATCCTTTTCCTTTACTGCTGCTTCCTTTGGTGACCTGATGTTCAGACCTGTCCCAGTGGGCGCGGGAAGCAGGACATTGGTCAGGAAAGCCTTTCACCTACGGCACTGTCCTGTTGGCCCCGCTCTAAAAATCCCACCAGCGGATTCAGCAGCAAGAGGGGTTTGCTGTGCGGTGCAATGCTTTACAGGAATAGCCGGTACCCTCCTTAGGATGGATTTAGGTTTAAAGATAGCAGTATCAAAAAAATAGCTCCTGGATTACCCACTGCCCTAAAGGTAATTTTTTTTTTTCCCTTGAATGACCATGTTTGGACATTTTAAGACCTCTCCCTGCACCACAGTGAGTTTTACACAGGCAGGGGTGGATGGCCCCCATGCCAGGCTCCCAGGGATGCATTCACCCTGCTTCTTCAGAGAGAATTCACGTTGGCTTTGCCACATGTTGGCTCTGACCCATGCCAGGACAAACACAGGCTGCTCGGTGTCTGCCACCCCCTGTGTGATGCTGAAAGGGCATTTCCTTTGTGTTGGTACGGCACAAGAGGCAGGCGGGGGTTATTTGGCCATCCAGCAGTCAGTAGCATCAGGGCTTTTGGGGAGGAACCCAGGTTTTCTGGAGGTGCAGGTGACCACAGAACTCCTGTTTTCATGCTCTTGGCTACTGACCTCACTTTCTGCGAGGACCAAGGATGGAGGTCTAGTGTCACTAAGGTTGGCATCAAAAAATATGTCAGTCCCAGGGGAGCCAGCCCCTCCTGCTGAGGCCATCTTTAAAAGGTCACCGAAACCTCCATGCCCACAGTTTCAGACTCCAGGAGTAACGCCAGTACGGAGCTCACAGCAGTGGACACCTGGGCACGCTGGAAAGGGGGAAAACACAGAGAAGAGAGATCGTTCTCATTCCCTCCAGCCGCTGGTGGCTGAAGCTCTCAGGTGAGTCCTGTGAGCAATGGGTGGGTTAGACGACATGCAAAGATCAAACAAGGAGCTCCAGGGCATCCAGCAAATGTGTCTCATCACATTGCCCACGGATGTCCAGAAACACCACCCAGAAGAATCTACATGAGCTACACCTATATTTGCTAAGTGGAGTTACCTATAACACAGCTCTACAGTACCCCCACGAGCACAGGCGGGAACGTGGAGAATATTTGTTGGGAATATCGCTGTATTTGGGGATGGATTGTACCTTCAAGAATTCAGCTAGAAATAACTGACAGGATGATTTGCAGCCATCGGCAAACAATGTTACTTTCCTGAAAGCAGCAGCACCAGAGGGAAAACAAATTGAAGCAGGTGCGGGAAGAGTTAGGAAGCGCAAGAATTGCATTCCCGAGCCAAATGGACAGATTGAGACAGAGGAAAAGAAATTGGGTAGGGAAACGGCTGCCTATTGCCCAGATTTTTCAGGCACTGGGAGGAGGTGGAGGTTGGGTTCAGGCTCTGTTTCAGGACCTGGGAGCTTCATCTGAGCAGCTGTGTTAGTGCTCAGCCTGGGGTGAGAGTGGGTTTTAGAATGTGTTTCCATTGCAAGCCCTGGAGATCTGTGAGCAGCATCCTACAGAAGCACCAGCCCCACCACTGCAATGACCATGAGGAGCCCAGCCAGGATGCAGATGCTGATGAAGACGATGTCGCTGGTGTCCTGGCTCTTGATTTCATTAATGTCCATTGTTTCCCTCTCCCGCTGCTGGGTATCAACCAGGTTCTCTGCCTGGCTGACCCTGGACGGGTCAGGGCCAGCGATGAGGGTCACCGAGGCTTCCTTCCTTTTTGGCTCACACTGCACCTCATACTGGTGGATGTCCTCCTCCTCGCCTGCTGAAAAGTCGATGTAGAGGGTGCTGACAATAACGGACGTGCTGTTGCGTTTCTGCAAGACAAGGATCGTGACTCATCGGGCTTTGTGCAGCTCATTTTCACAGGTCTTTGGAGGGCAGTTGGCCACAAATCAGACCTGGGAAGATGGGAGAGGGACTGAGAGTTCTCTGCTGCTGGTACGACTGGCACGTGGCTAACCATCTATTCAGCTTGCTTTAAAGGAAGGCTTGCTGACCGCTTACCTGGGATTCGGCACCACAGGTGTCGAACCTGGTGTGTATTTTAAAGCTCCCACCAACCACCTGGGCTGCACAGGAGGGGGTCCCCAAGTAAATCCTATTCCTCTCCAGCCGGGCCAGGGACTGCATGGGGATCTGGATGTGGAAGTCCGTCCGGGTGCAGCTGACGTTCATAGGCACGACTGTCAGGACAGAAAACAAGGTGCACGTGTGAAGGTCCATCGGGAGGGGATTTCCTCAGGCTGCAGCGACTGCAGTAGCTCAGTGCAGAGTCACAACCATTTTCAAAGCTTGCTGTCCCCATCACACACAAAGCAGGCAACCAACATCACCAGGACTAGTGGGGATATTGGCCTCGTGACTTTGCTGTGCATCTTGCAGAAGCTGGCCTTGCTGCCACAGGACTCATGTAATGAGGTAAATTTTCAGGGAAAAAAAGAGCTACACCCAAAATGCAGAAAGCGTTATTTTATAGATCAATATTTTAGCCCTGTCCCATGCCAAGGTCAGACACAGTTGGCTCCCAGGCACTGCCCTGCTTTCTGCTCTGGGGAGAGACCCCACCAACAACCCTCTCGAGCTTCATTCTCCTTCCCAGCTCTCCAAGTGACACCCAATCACAGAATCATAGAACGGTTTGGGTTGGAAGGGACCTCAAAGATCATCTAGTTCCAACCCTCTGCCATGGCAGGGACACCTCCCACAGACTCCATGCTCAAGGCTCCATCCAGCCTGGCCTTGAGCACTTCCAGGGATGGAGCATCCACAACTTCCTTAGGCATCCTGTTCCAGTGCCTCACCACCCTCAGGGTGAAGAAGTGCCATTACAGGCAACACCATCATGCCATCACTGCCATAAGCAAGGGAGGATTTACTCTGTGAGAGCAGCCACTCTCCATCATTGCAAAGCCAGTGAAACATTTGAGGTGCTGCCCAGGATTAAATCACGAGAGTTTTGCTGATGGCTTGCCGTGGGCACAGAGCTCCCCCGCGCGCTATGACACCCCTGCAAGAGACACTCTTACAGCGATGAAATGGAGGAAACACATCTTGGGGGTACCCCATGCCTGCCCGCCCTGGAGCGATGGAGCTGCTCTGCTGTCACGTGGTCCCTGGGGAAGAGTGGACCAGGTCACTGGCCCCAGGGCATCCTCCCAGGGGGTGGCCCAGCCCAGGTCCTGTCCCAGGCATCATCAGCCCTCTGTCTCCTTCTCCAGAATGTTGTTTTTGATGGGGAGTGTGTGAACAGTGCACAGAGGGAGCTGCTGTTGAGCTGCCCATGATGCTGAGAAGATAAGCGAGGCAGTGGTGAACACAGCCCGTCTCCATCACTCTCCCTCTGGCACTGTATTTGACCCCTCTGGGTGCAGAAAGCATCCACACAGGGAAAGCAGCAGGGAGGAAAAATGCCCCCCTCTTTAAAGTTAATCCTCACTCAGCTTGAACCAGCCACTTGGACAGTATGAATTATTGAATTATTCCAGCTTCCTCTGAATCTTTGCCTTATGAAACTGGTAAGATGCAATAAAATCAATACGAAAAAATAGTGTCACTTTGCTTCACTTAGTGCATTATAAACCCATTAGAAGATTTACCAAATAACTAAAGTGCATTAGATCAAGAGGAGGAGAAAATGGATCCTCTCTCCTGGCATGAAGGTTTTCCTTCAAATGGCCATAAATCATCCAGGCCCAGCCCAAGCCATGCCCTTTCATGGGCTTGAAAGAAAAATATCTGCATGGCTGAAGAGCCATGGACGTGGAGGCTGAGGTGCCCCTTTGCCACCGAGGGCTCCTGAGGAAGCTGACGGCGGGGAGAGGCTGGTGCCTCCTGGTGAGAGCAGACGCTCTCCCGGCAGGGTGCTAGAGGTTGGATGTGCCACGCAGGCTGTGCCTTGGCACATCCCCAACAGAGGAACTTCCAGGCAGATAGATGGGATGCTAGCTGAAGAGCCGGGGGAAGCGCTGTCACAGAGGGGGACGTGACTTCTCCCAGCAGCCTGAGGCTCTTGCATCCCTCCCCGTAGACACTGCTGGATGCATGTTGGGGGAGGACAAAAGCACCGAGCCTCCCTCCATAAAGCTAAGACTGCCTGCTATGATTGCCGGGCATCTGATGTGCACGGTAAAGCCCTACTAGATGTCCGGTATGACATCTCTCCCTCCAGAGGATGCAGAGGCTCAGGACAAAACTCCATCCTATCTCCTACTCCTAGAGCCACATATCCCCACATCCCTTCTGCTACACTGGAAATGAAGAATGATTTTTCTGCTGAGGGATAAAACCTTGTAATCCCAGAGCCAGCCACCCACAGCTCCTGTGCTGCCGGTCCAGCAGCCCTGCTCCAGCTCCAGCCTACCGGCAAGGCTGCCCCTGACTGAATCATCCCTGACACACAGGTCAGCTCAGATGTAATTGTCTTGAAACACAACGAACACCATAAATTTATCGGCTTTTGAGGTGCGAAGGTTGGCAACTACATGAGGAAGGTTACACACCACTCCTCCCACCAGCTGCAGATGCACTGGCTGGGACATGGGGCATGCCACCAGCAGGGAGGTGCCAGGCAGGGCTGGCTGGGTGGATTTGGGAATGCCATGGCCCAGGGGTCCTTCCCCTCTGGTGCTGCTGCCAGTGGAGGAGAGGACATGGTTTGTCTGCCTGCTCAGCTGCGTGCCGATGGAGCTGGAGCACCCTGGGGAGCAGGGAACAGGGTTGTGATGCTTGAGGTGGTCACCTCCCCTGGGGCTTTGATCCCCTAAAAACCCCCTGGGTTTTCTCTCCTTCAGGCCCTGAGAGAGGAGCAGGAGCATGGCAGTGGCGGAGATGTGGGGAGGAGAAGCTGGAAAGCATGTCCTGAATAATAAACACAAAGTGGAGCACGTGCTTCTCGCACTCTGTGAGAGATGGAGCTCACCCACTGCATCTTCTCCACCCCATCCCTAAGAAGCCACATGCTCCTGCAGCCAGGTATCTTCACCATGCTGTCCTTCTGAAAATTGCACGGTCTGGGACATATTCCAATGGAAATAAAGCATTGAGGAGCACCCAAGTGAGATCTTACCTCCCACATAGGCCACGGAGAAGCCCCTCTTGGCCGTGTTGCGGTCGGTGTGGAGGACCAGCAGCAGCTGGTTGCTGCGGGAGGTGACAGGTGCCAGGCTCTCCCGCCCACACCACCGCCCCAGCAGGGACATGTTCTCAGTGCCACCATCGAAGGCGGCCAGGTGATCATAGTCACAGCTGCCTGTCAGGCTGCTCCGGCCTTCCAGCTCCATGTCCAAGAAGAAAACCTTGACCCGGTAGCCTGGGGGCAGCTGGATGCTCCACTGGCACTTGAGGTTGTTGGGGTAGAAGTTGGGGTATTGAGGGCTGGAGAAATTCCCTTTGATGGCCGTGAACACCTCCTGGCACTCACCTGCTCAGTGAAAAAGGGGAAAGGAAAAAATGAAAGAAACCTGAAGCCCCCTGGGTGTGGATAAGCTGGTGGATCAGCGACCACCTGTTTTATTGCTAAAGGATGCTCTGCCCTTCACCTTACTGCTCCCCAGCTTTGCATTTGGCCAATTGACACCCATCAGTTTTGGGGGATGGCAATGCCCAAGGTGGACAAAGTTCTACAAGGGCAAACAGGGAAAACCCGTATCCCCAGGGAATGGCATAAACAAGAGAGAAGGGCATTTCTTGCTTAAGAGAAAGACAACCCAGGGCCTGGGAGAGCCACAATGACACCATTTGCACTGTGTGGTTGTTTACACTTCAACTGTCATCTCATGAGCTCTCCTCAAAGGGCTCCCTTCTGCTATCATCTCCTCTTGCTGCCATGGGAGGGAGAGCATCACCACCACCACCACCCCCCAGGGGACCCGTCCCCACAGCCTCCCACCACCCCTCCACCCCAAGACCCCCGCACCCGAGTAGAAATGGGCCTTGAAGCCCCTGCCAACGATGTTGAAGTCTGACTTGAAGAGGATGAGGAGGTGCGGGGTGGCAGAGATGGTGCGGGGTGGCCGGACACTGCCGCAGTAGTGTCCCAGGCGGGGGGCGGAGGTGGTGGGCCCATCGAAAAGGGCCACGTAGTCGAAGCTGCAGCCCTGACCCCCCTCCACCTGGAAGTCAGCAAACACCAGGGTGAGGGGGCCACCACCGCCGCCCCCCCCGATGCTCCAGCGGCACTCGGCATCGTTGGGGTAGCTCTCAGGATAGCGGGGGCTGGTGATCTCCCCGGAGAGCCCCGTCAGCTGCCCACCACAGGCGTCTGCGGGGAGGCATGGATGATGAGGATGGTGGGGGAGGACAGACAGACGGATGCTCCACCACTGCCATCCCACCCCACTACCTTTCTGGTAGGCGGCGGCGAAGCCGTGCTTGGCCACGTGGCGGTCTGAGCGGAAGACGACAGCCATGACGTGCCAGGCGGAAGAGAAGGGTGGTGGGGGGCTGTGGCCACAGAAGGTGCCCAGGAGGTTGCCTCGGTCCCGGGCAGCCCCGTTGTAGACCTGGAGGTAGTCATAGGCGCAGGTGGCGTGGTACTCCAGCTCGAAGTGGCTGAAGGAGAGCAGGACGGAGGAGCCCTCGGCCACCACGATCAGCCACATGCACTCTGTCTCGTAGGGGTATCGCCCTGGGAAGTTGGGGCTGGAGAAATTGCCAGAGGGTGCTGAGAGCACCCCCCCACATTTGATGCCTGGGGGACACAGAGGTGGATGTGATGTCCCCTTTCCAGGGAAAGCCTGAAAAGATGGAGATGGGGTGCACAGCACCGTCTCCATCCAACCACCAGCACTACCGAAACACCAGCACCCTGCAGACCTCCGCTGGGCTCGGCCACCCCTTCTCCCTGGAGGACACGTGTCCCCTCCATCACCTTTCATCCCTCCACTGCCATCTTCTCCCCTCACCACCCCTGCACCACGGCACGGTCCTGCCAGCAACAGCACGGCTTCCCCACCTATTTATGGTTGGGAAAAAGAAAGTAGGGCGTGAATTTTAAAGGCTCAGTAGTTCCAGGCTCACTGCTGCCCAGCCCTTCAGTTTTGTGCCTCCTGCTGATGATACTTCCTCCATATAACAGTGGTACTGGTGAATTGAAGCTGGGAGAAATAGGGGTGAAAGGCTTGATGTGCTTAACAATGAGTTATGCATGTAGGGATCCATTTTCTAATGAAATCTTTATACTGACACTTGGTTATTATAAAATAAGGCGGGGGGTGGGGGGGCAGCTGCCACCTGCCCCTGGGTCTGATTAGGGTTGGGGTGAAGGGGCTGATATAGCAGGCACATACATCATGTCTGGGAGGGATGCAGACCCTGTGTAGCCTCCCGAGAGACATGTGTGGGTTCCCAAGCAAGGCTGGGCACTCACTGCCATCAATCTGGGCCAAGTATATCGCAAATCAATAGTCAGCCAGTGCGCATTGCTTTTCATCACGCTCACTGGTGCGGTGACCTCCCAGCAAAGGCGGGGGG